CCGCCGCATACGAAGGTCCCACCAGCGCACCGAGGAGACAGGATCTAGCTCGCTCAGCATCGCGTGGTTCGTCACTACCAGCGCTGCAGGAAGTTGAGAGCAACACTCCACAGCACAAAAAGAAGACGCCGTCGATTCACACGAGCCGTAGTGTGCGTACCTCGGACAGTCCCAGGCGAAGTCCTACTTCTGCGACTGACACATCCGAACGACGAGCGACGAACCGCCTATCTACAGACGACTCGGCTCGTTCTCCGCATGTGGCCGACAAATCATCTTCGGACAACTCTTCGCTGAAGCGCGGTACATCGACCTCGTCCTCTCTTCGGAAGCAGGGCGCTTATCCCGTCGTCTCAAGCGGACGGGAGTCCATTGGAAGCCACCGCTCCCGTGGACTGAGTGGTCGCATGTCTGAAGAAGACCGCGCCCGCGAATTCGACTCTTTGGTCAAAGGACAGGATACGGTAAAGTTTACATTAACCCCCGAAAGCGTGCGAACTGCTGATGTAAGTCGTGCTTGCTTCCCTTGATCACATGTGCTAATGATCTGTAGAAGGAATCCCCCATCGTCAAGAAGGCGGAACTACGCAGGCCCTCCGCATCTTCCGTCACTGTGTATCCCCGCGTCAATGCCGAAGACAAGTCGTTTGGCACTGCGAACCTGCCCAACACCACAGCACCGAGAGCAAAGGGACCTACCGCCGCCAATCACAAGCCTTCACCCAGTCGGAAGGTGGTTACCAGGCCGCTTGCGAGAGATCCGAAGATCGAGTCTGAGTCTATGCGTGACTTTGCTGACTTTATTCGGTCGACTGGACCTTCTCCTGGACAAGAGAAGCCCGTGCAGCCTTTTGTCAACATCAGCGGGAATGGCCAGAAGTCCGGCAACCAGTCGACATCGTCTCTCGGACGTAAGATGTCCATGTCGAAGCAGTCCAGCAGCGCCAACGGATCAGCCACGCGAGCACGCCCAAACATGGAGCCGCGCAGTCCCGCAGGTCTAAGCACCGGCAACGGCGATCTCATCGACTTCATTCGCCAAGGACCCCCCGACGCAAACCACGGCCAACCAAGAATCCCGCGAAACGTCGCGCCCTTCCGTACAACCGTCGATTCCGACCAGTTCGAGACAATGCTCGGTGGCCACGGCAACGTCGAATCAGCATACGGCTCCGCTTCCTCAACCCTAGAATCAAAGGACAGCACGCAAACCATCAATTCACGCACCGGCCTCATCCCCTCTCCCAGCGTCGTCCAGCCCGCGTATTCCAACCAACCCCAACAACTCACCGGCAGCATGTCCGGCCCCGATGAACCGCACATCACGCGCACGCGTCGCCGTGTCAAAGATCCCTACGCCATCGACCTGTCTGACGAGGATGAAGACGACGAGGATGAAGATGAGGATCAGTTGACCGCTCTTCCGACGCCGACTAACCAACACCCGCCCCAGCAGGTGCAGAGACAACAGGCCCCGGAAACTAAGCGACCGCAAGCCCCGCGACAGGAGAGTCTGATGGATTTCCTCAATGGGATGGAGCCTCCGAGTACTAGTAAACCTCAGCCTTTTATGCTGAGTGAAGAGACGATTGCTGCTGCGCGTGCGCGTGCGGCCGCTTCGAGTAATCCATCGTTGTCATCCGCTACATCCACTCCGCGGAATAACTACGGCAACGGTAACAATCATAATAACAGCACTCCCGCCTTTGGTTCCATCTCCTCATCCAACTCCTACTCCGGCTCGGGTGCCAACAACAAATCCAGATTACAAGCTCGCGCCCCTGCTGTCGCGGACAACGTACGCGCTGGTGGTGGAGGTGGATCAAGAACGGCAACGAGTGACCTCGCCGACTTTTTGAAAAATAGCGGGCCCCCGGAGATGCCGCCGCCACGGCAGGAAAGGAAGGAGGAGGAGAAGAAGAGTAAGAGGTTTTGGAGGAGGGGGAAGACGTATGGGGATTTGCCTTAGGTTGAGAGAGAGGGAGAGAAAAGAGGGGAGGGATGGGTGATGGATGGTTTTGTGACTTTTTATTTCTTGGATACCCGGGTTTTGGAAGGTGTTGGTTTTTGGTTTGGGAGTGGAGGGTGTTGGATGTAGATGTGTGTATTTGTTGGCCTGGCCCGCTCATATTGACTTGTAATGAATCATGGTTTTTATTTATGGAATGATATTGTTTCTTTCTCTCGTTACCAAAGTTCAAGTAAAGGAAGATGGGTGGTGAGATTTATGAGTATTGTATCATTCAACGATGATCCGACGAGACGAGACGAGACTCAGCTCCAAAACGGACCCATACTTTCCCCTTGGTTCGCCGTGCGTTGCTGTCCTGACGCTCCCGACACTCCCGTCGATGCCGCCGTCGTCCCAGTCGCCCCAGCCGTGTTTGGCACACTTGTTCTCTTGTCAGCCACTCCTTTTTCCACAAAAGACAAAGTGTGAGGTAAAGGGAAGAATAACATACGTAACCTCTCTCAATCTCGCATCCGTAGCCGCCGTACCTGGTGTCCGACCATACAAATCTACGACGTAGCCTACGGTCTGTATCTCTTTTCGGACGTATGGACTCGCTCTGAGAGCCTGAATATCCGTTCTGATAGTGGTCTCCGGAGCCGCTGTGAGATGTGTACAACCTAAGCAATCATTCATGCATTAGTCCGCATCTTCCACCGCTTCTCTCGGTCGTTCAAGTTGGAGTGAACATACCGGCATGCCCCATCGTAATGATCAGTCCCAGCTTCGAAGATTGGTCAGCCCAATAGATGCTGTTTATGACTTCCTGCGTTACGCGGCTGCCGGAAGTGGTGTGGATTGTGGCGTGCGTGGTGTTGAAGTGATGGGATGGGTGGAGTAGGGCAGATGTACTGGATTCTGTGCAGCAGACTAGCATAATTTCAAGGTTAGCAGGCAGATTATGCGTACGTGCGCTTTCGACGGAGAAGGGTTAGGGTTATATGGCTGGGAGAAGAGAAAACTTGGTTAGTTAGTTAGTCACTGACCGATAAATAGGCCGCCGGAGGTCGACATGACTGCGGAGTGATGGAGTAGCAGGTTGGGTAACGGTGTGTATTGTTATGGGGTAGCTGGGTAAATGAAGAAGAAGGAGAACATTGGAATTATATGTAGGTGGATGGGTCTTGGTATACAATGAGTATTGTCGAACTCTGAGTGATGATACCGTTGGTGTCTCCTTCTCTTATATGGTATTGGATCATGCGAACAGTCTGATACCCCTTGGACCATCCATTCCAATTCCCCTTCACCCATCCTGCCCACGTAATCAGCACATAACCACAAAATACCGCCACTCCCTCTCCCTCTCCCTCTCCCTTTCTCACCATCTACAGCTGACCAAGCAACACATCTTGCCTCCCTTTCCTCCTCTTTCCTCGCCTCCCGCTCGTCCTTAGTTCGGTCGAGTTGATTACACATATCTTACTCTTACTCTCCCCCCATATCAACACATATCAACACGAGACAGGAAAAGGAAAGGCCAAGATGGCGTGCATGCATAGCTAGGTATATGCGCGTTCTAGACGTCGCCCACGTTGGCGCCGAAGTAGGTGTCTACAGATCGAAGATATGTACGGTAAACCAGTATGCTTAGTTCTTTTTTTTTGGAATAAGCGGCTTGTCCACGCGAGAAAACCGGTGGTCGATGCCGTACTCACAAGCATCCTCAGCGCGACTCGATGAGTAGATGGATGCATGGACGAACGGATGTATCAACGCCACAACCTTTGCTATGTTTAGCAAGCAACTCAGATACGTACCCAGTAACGCATTCGTAATAACGCCATACCACCTTTCACTCTCCTCTCAACATCTTCGTCCTAAGTCCCTTCGGCCCCGAACTCGGATATCGCATCGCAAAATGCACCTGTAGAAACATGCATGAAGCCACCAACCCACGTTTACCTATCCGCGACTAGTCAGGCACAAATGTATTTGTGTAATATCGCAATCCATTACAAAGCCCACAGCGGGACTTATGGCGTCATACGCACCCCTCTACGCCCACTCCCCGCTTTTCCCAAAGAGGAAAGGCACGATGCATGCAAGCCGCGAAAACGGGCTAGTGGGGTAAGCTGACATGGTGATGAATAACACAACGGTGATGTGACGTGTGTGCTCGGGGGAGGGGGAGGTGGCTCGGACGAGGTGTGCAGTGCAGATGGATATGCTGGGAGTGGAAGTAGAATGATTTGAGTATGCGGTTGGAAGAGGTGGTGCGGCAGTGGTTTGTCAACTCTCGGCATCGATGTAGTATTAACACTGTGGTTAGATAAGGTATTGCGTTCGAACAGATACATTAGCAACCAAACCCCTCGCATCAGCACGTCCATGACATTCAACATTCCCACATTCCCACCTCCCGCATGTTCACTTCACAAAGAACAACAATATTCGCGTGGATACGTCGATTCGGCGGCATTAGCGGGGGGTCATGCAAGGCAAGCAGCAAGGGTCCGGTCCGCCAACGATGCGTAGCCCCACTGTTGCGTGGCTGTGGCTTGCAATATGCAGCTGATCGAACGGATCTCCGCCGCTATATCTATACATCACGCATGCATGCATATGTAAGGCGAGTTTGTGGTGTTGTTGTAAGTTGTTGGAGTTGATGACTTTGCAGTGACAAATGTGAGGGGAGCATGGAGAAAGGAGAAAAAAGGAATGGGAGGCTGGTATTGATTGTTGTATTGATTGTGGTGTTTGTAATTCCTGACAAAGGCTATGGGGAATGTGATGGATGGTAGTGTTATCTCTGATCTCTTGTTGGAGTGTTTCTTTTGCTAGCCATCGCTGTTCTAGATAAATGCTGTCCTTGTATCTTTGCTTCGGGGTCTTGCGAAGGTTATGCAGTCTCTTGTCGGGCGGGTGAAGGCTTCGGCTGTCGAGTACAACGACGCCTGTCTCCGACCGGGTGGATACGAAAGTTGAGCCTGGATCACACAACGCCGTTCGTCATCTCGATCCGTCAAAAGCCAAGTTCTCGACAACCTTATGGCAGCGCTTTATACTGCGGCGGCAATGATCGCTCGCTCCCGTCTGCTGGTAGAATCCGAAGCGGTATAGCGATAGTCGTAGAAGATACCTCCGACTTTGGCTGATACGGTGGCGGCGCCTCCCCACGCTCGTCCAGTCCCTCAGTTGGGCGAAGGAGAACAGAGTTGGTGGCTCTGCATCGCCCGTGTAGGAGCCTTCGTGTTCCAGGCCAGGCATCCGCGTCTCTCGCCAATGCTTGTTGCCCGTTTCGAGGCCAGAGCGCCCGACGACGGACTTTGCGGCGGTGGATGAGCCATATTGCGACGAGGATGAGGACTGCGAGGATGATGATGAGGAAGTAGTAGTTTGAAATGAACTTGACGTTCTGGCGTTCTTCTGGGTAGAGTTCGGCGTCGTCCGTGTCGTCGTCGCGGGGGAAGATGCTTGGTTCAACCGCTGAGGGCGTTTCCGCGAGCAGACTGAGATAAGCCATTGCGTTGGTTGAACTACAGTGAGTGTAGTGTGGGTATCGAGTGGAGATAGCGAAGCATTCGTAAGTTTGCCTCAGTGAAAGACTCGTACGAAGCGCGAGGGCAGTGATTAGGGCATGGGCGAGATGACAGTGAAGAATGGCCTGTTCGCGGTTGTATCGCCTGCATTGCCCACATCGTTTGCTACTTCTTCAAGTAGCTGGTGAAGGAGGCGCGAAGGAGCCATCTTTGTGTGGCATCTCATGCCAGGAAGAAATTGAACAGGTCTGCAGCCTTCATCATGATAAAGCTGAACACCATGGAGCGAAGATGACGTTGAGTTATCAGCCTTGCATATCTTTATCATTCCAAGGTGGGAGTGTCGAAGTGATGCAGTGGAGACACCGGAATGGCGTGCTGGCGCTTGCAAATGATGGCGCCAAGCAATCGCGTCAGTTGCGCGCTCGCACCCTGTTGTCCAGTCTTCTACTTAGCCACCTGCACCCCGCAACATCGCATCCACTCTCCAACATGGTCAAAGCTATCAGAGGTATGTCACGCCTCTCCCACCAGTTTTCCCGATACTGAATTCCCAGGCACGCTCGTCAAGTGCGACGCTTCCATCAAAGCCATGCTGGTGGACATTGACAGCAAGAACAACAACGAATACATCATCGAGGAGCTCGACGAGGAGCACATTCTGGTCAAGGAGACGAGGATCAATGAGCTCAAGGCCCGTTTGAACCAGGTAGGTGTGGTGTTCGTATGGTGTGGTCACTACTGACAGTCACAGATGATGCGAGAACGCTTGAAGGAACCAGAGAGTTCGGACTCTGAGTAGATGTCTGGCCTTTGGCTCAGTCGTAACACTATAAACCTTATTCCGGTTGCTCTTTCCCGCTCCCAACCGCTCGACCGTCGACCGCTCGTCCTTACATGGCCGCCTTCTGCGCCGCGCTCTCCTGGGAGCCTACCCACTTCGGCCTGTGGTCGACGTACAACTCGGCGTTCATCGTCATGTTGTCGAGGATCTTAGTGTCATCAAGAGTTCCGACCTTGATGATGCGCTTGCCGGCAAAGGTGTCACCTTGGCGCCACATGGTCGAGCCACAGTCGCCGCTACACGAGGTCAGAACAGGACTCGCTATACCGTAGCGAATACATACCAGAACATGGAAGTCACGTCGTTTCCGCTGTCGCCTTTGACTGTGTGTGCCTTGGGCGTACCCTTGGTGACCTTGAAGCCCTCGTCCGAGTAGACGGCGTTGGTTGAGTAGGCGGATCCGGTGATCTTGCGGCAGTCAAGGCAGTGGCAGAGGATCTGAATATCCTATTAGCGACGACAGGGACCTTATCAGAATACCACGTACGTTGCCTCCGCTCTCGCCCTGCACCTCGTAACGGACGTTACCACAGAAGCATCCTCCGGCAGGCATCTTGATAAGTTGGTGGAGTGGAAAGTTGATTGGTGGAGTTGTTCAGGTTGTGAAGGTTAACTGACCAAGTGTCGTGCTGGACTGCCTTCACCTCGGACTTTATACTCGAGTTCCTACCCCGCTGTATCGATCGTCAACTTGGACAAGAAGCGCCCTACGCATCCAAGTTCCCCACCACTGGCCTAGCGCCGAGGCCTGATTCGGTTCAACCGCGAGGGTCTGCCGCCGACGCATGACGGGTAGAGGGAAGCCGTCCGCTTATGCTGCTTACGGTTGAGGGGCATGTTTGCTGTCATTGGCAGTTCTAGGTCTGGCCATAGTTCTGGTCGGGTTATGATACTTTGCTTGGACGAGGGGCAATTCCAAATCAAACACTCTCACACCCATGCGGACCGATTGACTATTAGAATATGTTTGCTTGAGCCGACGATGCCGACTATGCCGCACGGCTGTGGCGTGAGACCAGTGCTTACTGAGAACAATGTACCTTGCTTTGATATTCATTGGAGAAGAATACACTGCGCATGTGTGTAAGCCACAGTTGAACGGCGGCTATGACGTTGCTAGACGGTTTGCGGAGCGGGGTTTTCCCAATGCGGTTACGGCTAGTCGAAGCACGTGAATTCGAGTCAATTTGGCGTTTGCGCGCAGCCCGACCTCTACCCGTGCACTCAGTGAACACTATGCGATGGACGACCTCGCGCTTTGATCAACCCGGGTCGTTGACCGCCTCTACTCCATCTACAACTGCCTCGTCGACATGGCTGGCAACGCACCCAATGTCTGGACGCAGATGAACTATGTCCCTCCCCGCGGCCAATGCAATCACAAGCCGTCTCTGCTCGCCGCGAAATGCCCGTGTTTGCGCTTCATGTTGCATCCGCTGAAGGTAGGTCTTGTAGCTCTATACCGCCAGTATACTAGCTAACCAGCATTCCAGTCATCGTCCTCATACGAATGCGACGGATGTGGCCACCACGCCTCCTTCCACACCATGGAGAACAAGACCGAAGACGAGATAAGGAAGCGCTGGGAGGTCGAAGCGAAGGAGCGCACCGAGCAAGAAGCGCAGCAGCCACGGCCAAAGAAACGGGTTAGGGCGATTGAATACAACAATGAGGAAGGGGTGGAGGACATCTTCAACGAGCTCTTGCTGCAAGAAGCTAGGACCAAGAAGGCTGCCCCCAAGAAGAGAACGGGGAGGGCTGCGGGGACTAGGGCAAAGGGAAAGATTAGTGAGATTCTTGAGGACGATGTGGTAGAGTTGGACTGAGTTGGAACACGGGAGATGGAGCTGGCGTTGAGGTTATTGGGCTTAGGCCAGGCGTCGCGATATGATACCCCGCGCATATATTCGTGCTTTACACATGGAAACATATTCAATCCTTTTACAGCATGCATTTCTGGAGTTGGGGGTGGTTGTCCTGCCCTGCTTGGGACGCCAAGGCCAACCAACCGTGAGCGACCTTGGGCGCAACGCACCTTTCCTCCTCGCTTCATGAATATGCACGCAACATGATATCGTAACACCCACCCCTCACTCAACTGCATAATTAATCCACGCAGTGCCCTGCGCACTCTCCACGCCCATCATGGCCACGCCAACGCCCAAAGACAAAGAAACGCCCTCGCGACACCTCAATGCCTTCTCCTCGCCCGCCCCACGCAGCGTCCCTCCCTCGGGCAATATCAACATGATGTCGTACGACTCGCCCGCGGTGCTTAACATGCTCAACGACGTCGCGAGCTCGGGCATGGGAGGTGTGGGCATGGGCATCACTATGAGCGGGCTGGGCATGTCCAGCCTGGGCATGAGCGCAAGTGCCATGGGACGCGCCGACGAAGCAGAGCGAAGCCGCAGACTGCGCGAAATCATAGACATCATCGGCAAGAAACCCGGACGCGTCAGCGAGCAGGGACTGCTGGCCCTTTGCAAGAAGATGGACATACCGTGCGAGAAGCACATGGACGAGGCAGGCACCTGGAGTCTCTTGATCGGAGACGAGGCCCTGTGCGACGTCACCTTCAAGAACGACGAGATCGTTAGCGTCAACCTCCAGACCGGCCTGGACGAATCGAGAGCCGATCTCAACTTCGGCGCGACAGGCTCTGAGATTCTCGTGCGCAGCTTGAAGCCTCTGCCCGGCCAGAGCAAGCTGAACGTCACGCTCGAGCGCTTCTCCGAGAGCTTGGAGAAGCTGCTGACGCTCGACAAGCTGGGCTCGCCGCAGAACGGCGGGGTCAGTTGCTACAATGCGATTGCGGGGGTCTACACGAGCCTTCGGAAATTGTTTGAGCATGAAAAGAAGACGGAGCTTGCGAACAGGAAGCCGGACGAGCGGTTCAGGACATACAGGGCCGAGCGCGAAGTGCTGTGCAAGAAGAGCGGACGACCCAGGCTCAACGGCGGATCGTGTCTCGGTCTGAGTCTGGAATACTGGATGGATGGACGCGCGCAGATAGATGGGCCGACCGAGTCTGCCTCGTACCCGGAAGACCATCGCTGGAGTCGCAACAAGATGTACTCACTGACCATCGAATGCGAATCTTCGCCCTCCACCCTCTACACGCCCATCCGCATCTCCGACGACTGGATCAGCGACGCAGTAGAGAAGTCGGCTAACGCAGATGCAAACGTCTCCCTAGACAATATGCTGATGAACGCATCTTCCATAGACTGGCTCGACCCAAAGCCGACCTACCTCGAACCCCCCGAGCAGACCGACGATGCCATGAACCTCGACTCCGCAGCTGGACGCCTCCCAAACGTACGCTTCGTCGCCAAGTTCAACCCCCCTCTCGTCGTACCGCTCGCTGTGCACATGCAGCTATACCAGATCGTTGGCATCGAGCCTCGCACCGACGACTTCCGTCCTACCACATTCGCAGGCCTAGCTCTGAGGCCAGGCGAGGTAGATCCGGGCATGTCCAATACAACAGGCGACCGCACCCACGAGATTCGCAGCTCGCGGACGGTGCTGGTGCTGGAGCAAGACGCATCGGGAAACGACTTGGACAGGCGACACGACATGAGTCTCTACATACCCAAGCTAGAATACAGCCGCACGCTAGAAAGCCTCCCCTTCAGCCACCCGAAGCAACTCGTCGAGATGCTGCCCGTGCTAAGACAGTACGCGCATGTCACATCACTCATACGAGACTGCTTCTACCTCGCACCCGAAAAGCCAATTCCCACCCACAAACTCGGCCAGCAATCTACACCAAAAGCTGCACCGCAGACGTCCGCGCAGGGAGACCTGCCTCGTCTCCAACTCGACGTCACACTAAGCTATAACCCGCCCACACCACGCTTCACCCTGCACGTCCCCCACCCCGAAGCCATAACATCTTCCCCCGACGTAGCAGACCTCATCTCCAACCTCCTCTCCTCCCCCTCCACCCCTGTCTCCACACCAATAACCTACAACGCACCCCTCGCCGTGACAATCGATATCCACACCAACGGCGAGCTAGTCGTCGTCGAGCAAAATATCCACGCCAACGAAGCTTCTTCTAGTGAAGAACAGGCACAGTTTCAAGCAGAGCAACTAGATCGCAAATTGAAGATTCTAGCGAAAGTATTGGATGCAGCGGATGATCTGGGTGTCTGGGCTGAGTGGTTGAGGAAAGAGGCGCTGAGGAGTAAGAGGAAGGATTAGGTGGACTTTCTGAGGGGGCCGGTGGTTTATCAGAGTGAGGAGGAGATGGCGGGGTGGCGGGCTTGGGCTAGGCAGAATGGCTGGGATGGGGAGAGGTGGCATGGAGGCGGGGAGGGGGAGATGGGATGGGACTTGAGGAGGCTGGGTGGTCGGGTGGGATGGAGCTGGAGCACGTCCTACGCAGGAAATATGCGACACTTTTGAGAAATAGATGGGTGGGTGGGGGAGGCGGCGGGGAGGCGGAGGGGAGGAGGAGGGGTGGTGGTGGATGTCTTGCATAGGTCTTACATGATGGATTTCTCGTCTTGAACAACATACCATCAATGATCCTACAATCTCAAAGATCTAGAGTTTAAAATCACCTCCCTCCCCCTCCATCTCCTCCTTTAACCTAAAAACCTTCCCCGGATTCAAAATGCCCCTCGGATCCAGCGCCCTCTTAATCCCCCTCATCACCGCCACACCCTCGCTCCCCACCTCCTCCTCCAACGCATCCCTCAACTTCATCCCTATACCATGTTCGCCCGTTACCGTACCCTCTAAGCTAAGCGCCAGCCGAGCGATGTCGTTGATTACGCGAATTGCGGCGGAGTAGTGAGAGGAGGGGCAGATGATGCTGGAGTGCACGTTGCCGTCGCCGATGTGGCCGACGTTGGCGCAGAACCAATCCGCTTGATTCGCAGCCGATGCCTGGCTGATGAGATCCTGAGTTCCAGCGACGAGGCGGGAGAGGTTTGAGATGGGAACCGCGCAATCGCTGTGTAAGAAGAGATCAGTGGGTTGTTGTTTCATAGCAAGAAGAGCCGTGCCCATGCATTTCCTCGCTCCCCAAATAACATCCATCTCGTCTTGTTCATGTGTGATCTCAACCTCCGATGCGCCATGTGTCTTACACAACTCTTGCATAACGGATATCTGATCCTGAACAATCCGCACCGACGGCCCCGCAATCTTAAAAAACAGCGTCGGCACCTCCTCAAACATGCGCGCGGGCGCAAGACCAGACACATTAACACACCGCATCTGCGGCCCATCCGCCAACTCCAGCGCTTCAAGCCGATGCCCTAGTTTCTGCAACGAAACAACCACATCCACACCTTCTTGGAACGTCTTGAAAGTAGCTAGTCCGACATGCAGGTTCCGCGGTAGAGGCGCAAGACGCAACACAGCTTCTGTGACAAGCGCAAGTGTGCCTTCAGACCCGATGACCAAGTGCGTGAGATCGTACCCCGCGGATGTTTTCCGCGGTCTGTGATGCGTTTTTATGATGGTGCCCGAGGCGAGGACAAGGGTTAGGGAGATGACGTTTGAGGCCATGGTGCCGTAGGCGTAGGCGTTTGTTCCGGAGCAGGACATTGCTATCTGGCCGATTCCTTTCTGTCAGCATAGGCAGGTATCACACCCCGGCACTATATCCTTTGCTACGGATGGAGGATGGAGACGTACCATCCCCCCTATCCTCGCCCCCGGTGCAGGATCAACAGGGAAAAACAACCCCTTCTCCTCCAACCTCTCATTCAACTCCACCCACCCCAATCCCGGTTGCACAACAACATCCATATCATCTTCATGCACCTCCACAACCCTGTTCATCTTCTCAAAACTCACACATACCCCTCCTTCACTGTTTCCTAGCGCTTGACCGAAGCTTGTGCCGCCGGAAAAGGGTGTCACGGCTATGCGGCGCTCGTTGCATGCTTTTAGCACGATAGATGTTTCGAGGGTGGTTTGCGGGAAGAAGACTATTAGAGGTGTGTGGTCTGGGGGTGCGGGGGACCAGGGCGTGTTTGATTTGCTGGCGCGGGTGGAGAGGTCGAGGGTGTGGGGGATGTTGTGGGTGGTGAGTGAGGAGAGGAGGGAGTGGATGTTGGGGGCGGAGTGGTCGTAGGTATATGGCGGCATGATGAAGGAGTGGAGGAGAAGAGGATAAGCGGGGTTTAGTGGTGTTAGACTATGTCGCTAGTACCATGTGTCACTCTCCAGATGTTGAGTATGGAAAGTTAGAGCATGTTGGGACGTGGACGTGGTTGCCGAGGCGAAGCCGTATCCTCGGAATCAGTTCCGCGGGTAACGAGTATCAGCAGAGCAGCTGCGAGGGCGGACATGGCAAACCTCGCAACGGCGGCAGTAAGGTCGAGCAGGCCCTCTACGACGTGGAGGAGCCTGAAGACACCTCGCTGTAATCTACACTTATACTAAACTTTTCTAATCGGGTAATAGGGTAATATGTAGGTTTACCGCGCTTTTGAAGATTGTAGAGAGATTTCCAAGGTTCGTTTTTGTTCATAATGTAACAACATCCTGCCATCACAACTTCGCAGTGTCCTTCGGGTCGCCAGTAGCCCCAGCCGCCTTCAGCGCATTCCACAGTCTCAAGCCTTCCTCCAGTCGAATGTCTTCTTCGATAGCGACATTCCCATCGCTCTTCAGTGTCCTCAATTGCATCGCATGCTGCGTACCCCAATCCATCTCTTCGCCCTTCAAGAACCTGCTCAACGGATCGTGAAACGTCTTCAACGCGATCTGCTTCTCCTCCTCAGTCAGATCATTCCCATTTCCCCAGAACCATATCGCCATGTCGGAGCCGTGACTTGCACCAAAGTGCTTGGGTAACTCTTTGTCAACGCACTGCGCACGCCATTCGATACGGTATCTGTGAATGAGATCTGCAGCGCCATGCTTCACCAACGCGTTTACCATCCCGCGACGCAGTGCATGTATCTGCACGTCAGCGTAAATATGACCGAAAGCCGCCTGCCAGCTCGAGTACTTTGACGGCAGTATGCGATTGGGGAAGTAGTGCGACATCAACACCTTGCATGCTTCGCGAGGATAGTCAGCTTCAAGGCGGTTCAGCATATTGTCGAAGCCCGGTCTAGGTGGACGCCAAAGACCGTAAACATAATGCTCGTCGCTGCATTCGCCGATAATGAGCTTGACGTTGCGGCGTTTCATGCGCTCCGCATAAACACCATTCGACAGCTCTTCAAGAAGCCCATGCCGCACAAACTCCCCATCAGTAACAGCGCGGAACTGATGCAGTTTGATCCCGTTACTCGCTTCCACAATCGCCCTCGGACTCAACTCACGAAGTCGTGCCAACTTCTCAGCCGGCGACTTCGCCAAATCGATACCCAACGCCCCCAATAGCTCGTCGAACTGGTCCTGCGCCTCTCCCAAACTCTTCGGTTGCATGCCCGGCCCATTCGACAGCATCACCGCCCTCTTAACAACCGCCTTCTCATCAGCACAACCGAGATCGTACGACAGCTGATGGAACACCGAGTGCGAACCCGCCGAGTAACCCCCGACAGTAATATTCGCGGCGTCCCCGCCAAAATAGCTAACATTCTCATACGTCCACTGCAAAGCCATGCGCTGATCCCAGAAGCCAAGATTAACGCCAAAACCATCAGTAGCAGGACACGAGTCGATCAGCTCTTTGGATGCGAGAAACCCGAATACGTTTAGGCGGTACGCGGGAGCGACGACGACGCATTGCACGGGGGACTCGCTGAGTAGCGCACGGAGGTCGAGTCCGTTCGGGCTACCCCATTGCAGGAACCCGCCGTCTAGGGCGCGTTAGTGCGGATCTACCACGTGGTGCGAGAGTTTATATCCCGTGCTAATGTGCGCCAACCGAGGATCTGCCTCGAATGCTGTCTGCCGTGAAACGGCGATGCCAAGCACTAGGAGGTGACGAGGAGGAAATGATTACTTACGGATCCAGAATAGTACCGGCCAACCTCCCCGAGTCAGCTTTCAATTGGTTGAGGTCGCACGTAGAGTCAGGGACATTACCTTCTGCTGGCGATGGCCCGGCTGGAATCCAGATGTTGGTTTGCAGGCAATCTTCGTCCCAGGCGGGCTCGTCAAGGGTTTCCGTGTTGGAGCCAGGCTGCGGACATAGGCCACAGCCGCCTGTGTATCGTCCTGGGTTCGCTTTTGTTCCGTAGCGGTAGCATGGTGGTAGGGGCCGTGGCTTTTGGAAGCGAAAGGGGCCGACGGGTGGGAGGGCGTATGGTACGCCGCCGAAATAATGACATTGTGCTTGGCCGTCGCTGTTGAGGTACGTCAGGCCTTCCGCGAAGCCACGAAACTGAAGATCGCGACGATGTGGTTTCGACGGCCTCGACATGTTGATGAGAGGTGATGTGGTGCAGATGAGGTTGCTGATCGATGTTACCTCGGCTAGATGTGAGATAGGGATCTGCAGCCCCTGACGGTGATCATGATGACCATGGGAGCGGGAATATATCCGTGAGTACGCAACGGTGCGGGAATGCATTCCCGGTATTGGGTAGCAGGATGGTTTGAAGATCATTAATTCATTATCATTACTATGTACTTCTGTATAGAGAAGCGTTTAAGCCCACTCAGTATGGTCGCGCGACGCTATACTCTTGCTGTCGGCTGTCACACTGACATGTGTAGTCTTCATGATCGCGTGATCGGAGCCTTTCCTCTCGTGGCTTGCCTCATCTGGCAGTATGCCGAGCTCACTGTCGTCATCCGTCTCGTGCTTTGGCTTTGAAGACCTTCCGCTGACCTGGGGCCCTGATACTTGGAGCGCATAGCTTTGTCTCGATCCCTTGCCTGATCCTCCTGTGAGACTGGTTGGGAGCACTTTGCGGAGGCCGTTTTCGAATGTCTTGCGGAGTGGTGGAAGCGAGGCAGTGAAGGCGCCAACGAAGACTTCGGCGATGGCGAAGATGCTGAGGTTGACGGAGGAGTAGGTTGGATCTGGCGATTCGTTCAACGACTTCATCTCGTAGAGTTTCAGTGCGGATATGGTGGTTGTGCTGAGGAGCGTTAGTGACGAGGTCAAGATGCGCAATAGTATGGCAACTTACATTAGACCACACAGGAACACTGCGCGCACGCCCCAGATCGTCCGCTTCGGAAGTTGCACCCTCGCAATGTAGATAAGCGGCGCCATGGTGTAGAGTAGGTCGGTCGCAATGTTGACCGCAGCGCCGGAGTATCCAGAGATGACACGTGGCTTCGCGTCCCAGCAAGAGCCAGGTTTCATTCCGGAGACATCCCAGTGCTTGGTGTATGGAGTGCATTCGCCAAACAGAATGACTGTGGGAAAGACGAAGTTGACGCCGAGATGGATCACGACGGAAGCCCATATGATGATCCGGAAGGTTCGCGAGAAGTCCAGCATGAAGATGTAGGCGCACACACTCAACTTTATCAAGGCCATTCCGTAAAGGTTGAGCAGCTGACCCACCCAGAGGAAGTAGAGGTACGTTTCCATGTTTTGTGGTGTCAACATAGGGTCCCAGACGTGCCTGCCGGCCCCAACTTCAGCCATCTTGTAGCAGCATGCTGCGCCTGCGACAGCTATGACCTGAATCTGGTTAGCAGATGCTGGAACCTCTTGCTTGGTCGCGACTTACATGTCCCGTCCATAGGAGATGATCGGTTAGTAGGAAGTAATTCCTATTCCTCCAGTTTATGCCCAAGCGGAGTAGAACGAATATCGAGCTGAATATGATCAAAGCGATGATGGGTATCTTGAGCGCATTTGAGCGGTCGTCCAAAGGAAGTCCTTCCGGTGTTGTGGGTACACCCATTGCGGATGGAAGAATGTAAAGAGGATGAGACACGGAAAGATAAAGATGCCCAATGAAATTGGCTGACCGGAAACCTCTCCTCGAAATGAGCTTCTGCTGATCACCTGAAATGCTATGCAGGCTGATGCAGCAACGGGCCGGGTGGACGTGCTGTTATAATTGCTCTGTTAACGTTCTGCAGATAGCCAGACATAAACGGCGGAGTGGCCGACCGATGTCAAACTCAGCCAATCCCGTAAGACGCAACGAAGCATGCAGGAGGCGGTTAAACCCTATTCCTACGACTGTGCGCCGAGGACTAGCGCACATCACCGTGGCAGGTCGTTAGTCAGGATGCGTTCATGCTCGGACATCGTGGTCCAGATCTCCACTGATCAGCTTGAAGGAGGCAGCCGAGCCGCAAGGCTCTGCAGATCAAACATATCTCCTTCTCGCGCAAGCCCTGGAAGAGCCAGAAGCGCACGGTCGGGACACCTTCCACAGCCACTCCCAATTTGTCTTCTGGAAACAAACCCAACCAAACTCTTGCATGCTGCTAACCCACAGCCCTGAGATTAGGTTCATCGTGAGTTATGGGCGGAGCCAGCAAGCACGACATCTGTCACTCGGTTAGCCGTCGTGGCATGGGCTAAAAGGTTATGATGCGCGCCGTTGCACGAAGGTTTAGCTCAGGCGGGCGCAGATGCCAGGCCATCAGGCTCGAAACGGCCTTGTCAAGTAGTCCGGCTGAGCCAC